CAAGGCTGACTTTGCATTTCCCAACTACCATCGATAGTGGAAATAATCGATTTTTTTCATGCTTCTACGGCAGTTTTCATGTAGTTTGCAGCCATTTTCTACTGGCTGCCACGAATAGGCAGGAAGATTCTATTGGCCAGCGTGAGAGACAACAGCTGACTGACACGAATGTTAACTAGCATGCAAAAAAATAGATAGCTGCATTCGTCACAAGTGGGAAAAATTTAAATCTGCATGGCACTTTACTCCAATTGACTCATTCGCTTGCTTAAACTCAACGTTGATTCTGATTCCGCAGAACTGGGTTGGGTGTGAAAAAGTATTTGTTGTTAACATTCTTTTTTCATTCAGTTTTTTCCAGTTACAAGTCCTTTTTTAAAGCTGATCGTTTTGTGTTCATTTTGTTTAGTTCTTTTTTTGTAACAGATTTAATGTTTAGTATAGAGCTTAGAAAAAATTCGCAGTGTGATATAGGCAAGAAGTAAGGCATGTAGCAACATCAGCATGGCAAAGGGCACTCCTTTAAAGGCAAGGAAGGACAAAAATATTTTAAGTGATAGCAATTGCTGTATGAGTTGTACGATTTTTGAATCAAGCACGGACAACACCGGGCCATGCTGCTAGTATATATATGATTATTCTTGAAACTGTTTCAATGAGAGATCAAACATTTTTGCCTTGAAATATTTTGACAAATAAGTTGGATAAAGCTTTGATTGCATTTTTAAAGTGACAAAAGATTTTCAGACACAAACTATGAAACTTGGGTATATATAAAATCTCTTACACATACTTTCAAGATTCAAGTTATATTTGAATTTTGTATTTCATATATTTATATTATTATATCATCAATTCTTTCTTTAGGGAAATTATTTAATATTTTTCATAAACTTTTCTTCAGCAGGTTTTAGTAATATATACAGCATACAAAATGTTTGGCGAAAACTAGACCAGTGTTTTGGAGAACAGTGTGAACAGAGAAAGTTTTTGGGCACTTTTGTTTCGCTGTTAATAATTTTTAAATAATTTAAGTAATTCTATTACATTTATTTGTTTTAAAAGATGTATAGTCTATTATTAAAATTAAGAATAATATTTAAAATTGTAGTTCATTACAACATATTCATATACAAAAAACCCTTTTAGAAAAAATCTTTATGTATACAAGTGCAAATTTAAAAGCGAAACAAAAGTGCCAAAAAACTTTCTGTTGTCGAAAAAGACCAGATGACATGCACTGAACGGATGTCATCATTCGTTTGAAAAGGCACCCCTATTCTACCTTGACTTAACCTCTTTTTGAAAGTAACTAATACGTTGATATAGTAGTTGTTAAAATGATTGGATTTCCCCATATTCACAGAAACTAATATTATGAATGTATGTGCTTATAAAATTCAGTAAATTTAAAAATAAGTTATTCCAAAATTCGCTTGAAAAAAAAAAAAAAAAAAAAAAAACAGACTTGGGACTTTAATTTAATTCTATAATTGAATTTGAAGTTTTTAGCTTCTGTTTTTGAAACATGGTAATTCCTGTGTAGTGATGGAACCATACTTTTAAATAAGTAAATTTAGATTTATGCCCTGTAGATTTGCATTGAGCACTGTTTTGTAAAAATAAAAATATTAATAAGAACATTGGATTATATATCTTACTGTTCTTTATTATGATAATATAAGCAGGATAAATTTGCTATGCAAAGAATCATTAAACTCCATATACCTGCCATAACTCCTGAAAAACATGTAAAACTTATAACATATTATAGAAAATGGAAAACCGCAAACCTTGTTGTCACTAATCAAAATACTAAATCTATTCAAATCTAAACTAGTGACGACCAATATAGCATATCAATTTCACTGCGCAATACAAAATTGTGTTTCTTGTCATAAATCAATTACTGATATCGGACATACTACCATATCCTTGAGTAGACATCTCACATGTCACTTATGTGATGAAAGTGCTATAAAAAACATCTACCTACCCACAATTTACAAGACACTTTAAGAAAAATTCTGATCAAAACTAAAATTCTATATAAATCATATTACTGGAAACATTTTGCTATAAGAGAGGCCCTGTATATTAAATATCTCTCTTCCACTATCAACTTCACCTTAATTAAAAGGTGTGAATAGTATTGAAAGTTTTTTTAAAAATTAGAAAGATGCTCACTCAAATTCCAGCAGAGTGCTCAACATGTGAAGGCTCAGAATAAATTCTCCTGCTAGTATTCAAAACAACACAAAAAAATACATCTTATACAGAAAAACATGAAAAGAAATTAACACCACCTAAAAAAAAAAAACCCTCTGACTGAAAAAAGTGGTCAAAAGCACTTGGGACAATATGGACAATTTTTGTACACCCTTACTCACACAAAAAAGAAAAATGTAAGAACCCTGGAAAAAACTAAATAAATAACTAATTAAATTTTCCTTACCTGTCATATTTAACAAAAGATATTTAAAAGAAAGATTGCTGCCCAAATATACATTAATTAAATTACATGATCTGTTAGCCAGCAAGGAACACAACACCCGTATTTTCTGGAAAAACCTTGTGGAACCACAACTAACAATAGCCAAAGAGAAAATACTGTATCTTAAAAATTGAAATTCAAAAATACAAGGAGATTCTCCAAAATACAATCTGCACAACATAACACACAACTACTGAATGCTATGTTAACCACTACAATAGTACATTAGAACTTAACCAACAATACAACATTGCTAAAAAAACTTGTAACTTATATAATGGAAAGATTGTACTACTCATTGGCATATGTAAATTCCTAAACTTGTCCAATCACAAACTCACTAACAACCAAAAAGAATTCTTGAATATCGGCCCAAATTGCCACCTCCAACTTAGATACAACCCCATTCAAAAGAAAACTGTAATCAAAATACTCTACCAATCAATTGGCAATGGAAAAATTAAATAAGATGCATCCAAATCTGAAAGACCATCTAAAAGCTGAAGTTTTGAAAAACCATACTCCACATAGAAAACACAATAATATTCTCACAAACTCAAATCGGCTGTAAAAGAGTTATGCAACAGCCTCAATATCATCAAACAACCAAAAATTACAATCTATCCTAGATGACACAATAAAATTCACAAAATTAAATAAAAATCCCACAGAATAATTAAAAAGGTAAGTAAACAAACTGATTACTCTACAGTACTGACAGAGCTAAATACACCTCCCCCACAGACAAAATGATAAAAATATATCACAAAACAGGTTGTATTCTATGCTACTATATTACTTTGTAAATAGCACTAAGTGTTGCTGTTAGTTTATAACACAAATGTGAGAAACTGATATTTTACGGTGTCTTGAATATACATATATATATATATATATATATATATATATATTTAGTTTATGCAAACTTGGGTAATCTGTATGGGTAGACCTGAGGAGGATGATATCCAGAGAGCTCAATGTAAAATTCAGAGCAGATATGTTTGAATAAAAGACAGACCACGTTAAGATTCCATGTAATAAGCTATTTCACCATAAACCCTTTAACAGAAGTTACAACAACCCCAATCAATTACACGACAGGTTTCATTCAAATTCTTAGACGCTGTTAATTCGTGTTACTTTAACGTGCATATTTGGGAGGTTAAGGTTTAATAAATATCTAAATGTTAAAACAATCTACGAAGAAATTAATTTGAAATTCGGTGGAGTTAACTTCTTCCTTTAATGTCGTTCTTATCATTCACCCCTTAGCCATCTATATCTAAAGACGAGACGCGTTAAATTTGAGCAACATCTAGCTGACACACTGGGGTTAAAAACAGGAAACTGAAATGATACATATGACATACTCATATCCTCTCTCCCACCTCACTCCCTCACTTCATTAATTTTACGTATACTTGATGAGGTCCGTCAAAAACGTGTGAATTTCTTTTCATTTTTCATTTCAGCTTTTGGAAGTAAAGTCTGATGATCCAGAACCCTGTTAAAGGGGTTATGGTGAAATAGCTTATTACATGGAATCTTAACGTGGTCTGTCTTTTATTCAAAAAAAAAAAAAAAAAAAAAAAAAAAAAAAAAAATATATATATATATATATATATATATATATATATTTATTATATATACATAGACAGCAGGTAATGTAATTTCCATAAAGATGTATAAGTGTGTCCACAGCAAAAGAAGTTAATCAAAATGTTTTTCTTATTCAGATAAAATTGATTTCCAATCTTGGTGAATATTAAAGTTGTTTGCTATTCAAGTGTTGAAAGAAATGTACTTTTAGCCATAAATCAAACGATCCTTTTAATCAATAAAAATCTGGAGTCAGCAGAAGTATCTATTAACAAGATCAAATATTAATGTTGTTACTAGTATTTAATATTAATTGATTCACTGAAGAGGTAACTTTGTATATTTTAATTAAAGGTGTAAAGAAATCTAACTTTCTTACAAATTAAAATAAATGATGTTTATCAAACAGATAGTCTGAATGAGTATGTACTTCAGTTTTTGTTGTTAATAAAAAAAAAACATTCTAAGATGGATTTCTTTTCATTTTTTTTATTTCATAGACCAATGAAGGTAGTAAAACCAAAGAAAATCAGTTTTGATATTATTTGATAATGATATATTAGTTAGTATTGATAACTTTCATTTTTTTCTTTTTAAATATGAAACAGATTTGAGTAATATTGCTGTAATTTGTGATTATGCACCTATAAAACTACACAATAGCAGAATGGGATGGAATTTCTTAAAATAATTTTTAAAAATATAACAACATGTAATCTGAATTCAAAATAAAAAAGAGCTTAAATAGCAATCTAAAACAAATATTCCACTAGAATGATAGAGGATTGCCCAAGTTGGTTGTAAATGACTTAAAGTAAAATTATTTGAGTGTACATCAGTTTGAAAAAAAAAAAAAAAAAAAAAAAAGAAGAAATAATCAAAAGAAAAGAAAAAAAAACAAACTTACCTAAAGCCAATGATAGGAAAATCTTTACATATATTACATTTGGCTTGGTGTTTGGCTGTCTCAGCTGCTGCTAACCGATGTAAAACAGGTAACCACACCATAGACTGGGGTTCGAGGCGCATCCAGTCAACAAACTGAGTGGCTTGGATTTCTGGACGGCCACCAGCCTGTAAAAAAAGAAAAAAAAAAGAAAAAAAAAGAGAACATTATTATAAGAAATATTACAAAATGTATCAAAGCTTAGGTTTTTGATTGATTGATTTGTTTTTTATGGCTTATCAATCTTTTGTAGGTTATTTGAAGCTAAACATACTTTTGGATTGTAATAATAATAATTATTATTTTTTGGAGAGGAGGCAAGTGAATATTGTATTGATATTTTTGGAGATGATGATTTTCAGATACAATTCCTACTAGGGTGAAGTGAAGGTGGATTCATACCTTTCCCAAGTGTATTTGAATGTAAGTGAATGTAACAAACCTGAATTCAAACTCAGCTCTTCAATTTTGCATTCCAAGCTATTATCCATTACATCACCTGCTCATCCAAGCTTATAGCTCCTAGTATTGGCAAGTGGTCACCCATCTTTGTTGATCAGGCAAGAACTGGTGTTTCAATGTGATATGGCTGTAAGCCCTTAGTTTAGAACTATTTGTAAATTTATTTAACTTTACAATTATTTAAGGCGTTTTTATTATTATTCATTATTATTATTTTTCAATTACAATAAATAATATATTATAGATTATAGCATAAAGTCCTTTATTCAAATGAATAGATATATGTATATTGAGACAAATTTACTTTCATTTTATGACAAATTTAATTAGAAATGAATTCTGAGGATAGCTGTATAACTATTATGTTTGGTCTTTAAAAATATATATATTTAAAGCTTGCTTTTTCTCGTAGATTATAATTGTTACTTCTTACTTAGTTTTTGTATTTTTAATATGAAAGTTTTAGTAATCTTGTTCCAAACGATCTTTGTAATAATGTTTTTTTTTAAACAAAAGATCAGAATAAGAATCATAGAAAAATATTTTCCAAACAAAAGATAAATATGAAAATGTGTAATAAATATGGGTTCATATAAAAGATGAATAATTATTACCTGTAGAATAAAAGTTACCTCCCCTTTATTTTACATTCCATTGTGTTTGACATTTTTACATACTAAAAAAATGTTAACTTCAATTAAAAAAAATAATGGTACCTACGTATTTTTATTTAAAAAAAACAGATTTATTTGAAGGTGATACATGTATCGATAATGTAAATTTAAACAATAGTTAATATATTTTATACTGAAAAATTATTTGAATTTTGTATTCCTTCTACCTTACAAAGGTACAAAATGTTTCAATAACATTGAAACTTGCTGTGAATAAGATTGGTATGCAAAAATTTTAAAAAATAAAAAAGAAAGTATCAGAATAATTGTATTTAAATTTTGAAATATGCATATACAGGAAATTTTTAGTCAGATTGCATTTACAAATATTTAATCTTCATATGTAGCTACAGTATAATTAGGTATCTGCAATTATTGAACAGATTGGAATGTTAAAAAGTCTTTAGTATAACAAAATATATCAATTTTTCATTAATATCTAAAATAGCTGAATATTTATAAATATTATGTGAAATTCTGAGATGAATTATTGCTATTATTAAATATTACATTATTATTATAATTATATAATATTATATAATCATTATTTCAGCTGGTATCTTTATCTTTGTTTTTTTTATCACAGCATTTCAGATAATATATTTTTCAGCCTTCTTTGTATCTGTTGCATTATGTCATCTTTGTACGTCATGCAACATATATTTTAAATTTTTATCACTCATTACTTAGAACAGTTCAGTTGACAGTATGAAAAAATCAGGTTGACACTAAAAAGAGGGTAAATTTGGAAAAAAAAATTCCATGTCATTATATGTGTTAAAAATGCCAACATATACATGAAAAATATGTGGCATCTTAACCATCACGTCATCATCAACCCATAAGATATAAAAATTCCTAAGAGATATTATTCATATGCAGGCCCTTAAAATTAGTTTCTATACAGCATTACTCTCCATAGCTTTTGAGATATTTTATAAAATCACAAGGTGTCACCTTCAACTTAAACTTTTCCAATATGGCACTTTATTATTTGTACATTTCAGAAGGAATTATATAATTCTTTTTTCTCTATGGAGATGGTGTGTCATGTTTGATTTAAATGGTCTCACTTTGGATTACAGATTTTTAGTGCACTTCAAGTCTTGGGGGCAGCTGGTTTCTCCTGTATATTGTTTATAACAAATTTAGTATTGTAAATACTGTTATTGGTCAAATTTTGTGAGATAATTGTTCAGTGTAACATTACTATTGAAAATAAACCTGATGTTATACTGATCACACATATTTTGGCTCTTTTCTTTCCCACTTCTTATGCAAGATAAAGTCATCTTTGTTTTATAGTTATTCTCCTCTTAGTTTTCCCATTTACTTACTGATTCCAACATTATATAGGTCAAGGGGATTAGTTATTTCTTTGAAGATGTTACATGTATCCATCAGCTCATTTTATTACTTTCTTCATATAAAATGAAGTAGTTAAAATTCAAAAGTATAGTACAATTATTTAGTGTGTATTGCCTTCATGCATAAAGATGTTTTAAACTTTTATTGTGAAAAGTTACAAAAAATGCAAGCTTCTTGTTCTTTTACTATGGTTAACTAAATTTATGGCTCAGATGGCAAAACATGGTGGATGCTTCTATAGTATAAAGACATTACCTACATATTTAATCTATACTGTTGGCCTTAATGGTAGCAATTTCAGGACCAATTCTTAACACTCTTACATAGAGATGCTAATCAGTAATAGTGCCAAGAATGATCCTACAGCCAAACCTTCTTCTTGTTGACATATATGTCAAATCTAAAGTGGAACTTTGTACACAGCTCATTAACAGTTATAGAACATTTCTCTCAAAATGAATCAACTATATTTTTAATCTCTTGTCAATGAAAAGGTCTCTTCTCTTAGAATTTTGATGAATATGTTCATAATATTTAAGCTTAAGCTCTAGGATGGGCACTGATTAGTTTTAAGAAGTAAACTGAGCTTTTTTTTTCCTGAGCTTGGTAACTGATTATTTGCTATAGTAGGAGAGCTTATTTTGATGTTGAACTAGAAATATCACATTAGAAAAATGATATAATTTTTTTTAATCAGTATCACCCCAAGCAAAGGAGTACAGCCACTAACACGCAAGAAGTTACAGGGTGGGGAGGAATTAGGAATAGAAACATTAATGATGAGTAGAAAGAGAAAAGAGCAATCAGGAGGATAGTAGATAGCGATTGACAGTTTACTTAAAATTTCTGCAGATTAAAGTTAGCTGGAAAGCATGTAGCTGGAAGGGAGTTTCACAAGTGAGAAGTGCAAGAAAAGAAACTGCCAGCCCAGAAGTTATGGCTACATCTAGCTAGTGCAACTGTAAATTGATGAGATTTCACCACCAGTCTAGTATTGTGCTTAAATTTATACAATCTAGGTACCATAGTGAAGAGCTCATCCAAACAATTACCATGAAAGTATTTATAAAAAAAGGCAGAGAGAGGCAACCTTTATGGTGGTGGGCAAGTGACTGAAGCTGAGCCGCCAGGTCAGGACCAATAATATTGCTGATTCTTCTCTGATCTTATCAAGGAGCTCCAGGTAAACAGCAGGGGCATCAGACAATATATGGCAGCAATATTCTAAGCATGGGCAAACAGTAGACTTACAGATATGCAAGATAGATTTCAGAGAGAAAAGTTGTTTCACCCAACACAGTGAGCCGACTTTCTTAGCAGTTGATCTAGCAATAGATTCAATATAGTTTTCCACCTTATGTCAGCAAAGAATGTTACCCTGAAAAGGTACAATGAGTCACTTTCCTGGAGGCTAGCATCAGCCATGCTGATAGAAGGCAAAGAGAGGTCTCCCAGATGATTAATGGAGGAAAGTTTAGTTTTGGAGGCAAGACAAATTTTATCCCAGTTAATGGAATTCCTGAGGTTGTTTTGTATATCAGCTGCCATTTTGACTTTGTTGGACTGATCAGCCTATCGAGGTAGGAGTAAATGGTATTGTCGTCAGTGTAAATGCTAAGTTGAGAGCTGATGTCATCAGGAAGGTCATTAATGAAGATTAAAAACAATGTAGGACAAAGGATGGAGCCCTGGGGAACATCAGCATTAATATGTAAGAATGTAGATGAGTGGCTGTTCAGGACACCTTTCATTTCACGATTAGATAGGAATGACTGGATCAACTCAAAAATGTGCCCAGAGATACTGTAAATTTTCAGTTTGTGGAGAAGACCTGAATGCCCAACCCTGTCAAAAGCTTTCAAGATGTCCAATGCTACAGCCCGGGCTTCACCATTTTTATCTAGAGCATGATAGACTTTTTTCGCAATTATTGTTAGTGTACATGCATGTCTGAGAAAAGGCCCTATAATGAGAGATGATGAACCAATTCAACATTGATTAGGGCCTATAGGAGTTTCCCAAAAAGAGGTAGAATATTAATAGGCCGATACTTGAATAGGTTGAACAGTTCACCAGAGTTCTTAAAAACTGGAACAACAGACTTACAGCAGTCAGAAAAGCAGGAGGCATTTATTATACAGTTTAGAGAGAACAGGAACTAGTTTGGGAGCACACTTCTTAATGACTATTAAATGGATGCCATTGGGTTCCCATGCTTTGTGGGGGATCAAGGTTAGAGATGATAGCAGAAACCATGGAAGGAGTTATATGCATATCACTCAACAGAGAATCAGTTCTAAGTGGGAAATGAGGTAGGGATGCTCCAGATAAGTCAAGAGTAGAGTTTGAAGAGAATTTACAGGCAAAGCATTCAGCTTTATCAGCAGAGGATGATAACAACGCAAATCAATTGAAGAGGGGGAGTAATAGAGACTTTGCACTTAATTAGTACCCTATTACAGTGATGCCAGCAGTCACATGAGCCAAAGTTTTTAGTGGCTATGCAGTGCTTCATTTCCTCATCAAACAGGGACTTAGCTCCTTTGAGGACACACTTACATTTATAAATAGGCACCTGTTAAGATGAGAGCTGTCACACTGGTATAGTCGGAAATAGTGGTTTG